AAAAAATAGCCTTTTTAAGATTCATATACGTATATGATTCCAGATATTTGGCTCACAAAGAAAAGAAAAAATACACAAAACTATTGAGTGTAAGTTGAAAATACATCATTGTTGAAACAAGATATGAGTCTGAGGCTCTGGCTTCCTTAACCCTGACGTCTATAAGATCTTTTGTTTAAAAGCAGCCCCAAGGATGTGCTGATGAGCTAACTCTTACGCTGAACTCTAGAATACCAAGAACCAACGTATGTATTCATTAATTTTCACGTCTATGATGTTACTTTTCTCTCTACTTATAGATGTATGTGCTTATCTCATCTTTAGCTAACTGTAGAAACAGATGTGCATTGAAACCAAGAATAATGCCATATGTAGAAATAGAAAATAGAAAATATCTTAAAACATGTTTTATACCACCTCATTTCCCATCTCCATATCCATCACTGCTAAATACCTTGTATTTCAGGCATATATAAATGAAACAGGGATCTTTCCTAAGAGAATCACTTAGAGTCCAGGATTTTGAGACCAGCCTGAATCAACATAAGGAGATCTTATCTCTTAAAAATTTTTTTAAAAATAAAAAGCAGGGCTGGGGGCATGGCTCAGTAGTAGAGCATGTAACTAGTGTGTTGTGTTCTTTTATTTTCCATGCTTCTTAAGTGCATTCTTTTCAGAAGGCCCTCCTGTGCAGTGGATCCAAGGGAGGTGGGTGCAAAAAGACTAATAAATGTTAAAAAACAAAGCCAAGGGGTCAGATGGTGATCAGAAGAGTAATTGTTGAATCAGGTACTGTAAAAGAAATAAAATACCTGGAACAGAGGATTGGAAAGCATTTTCAGATTAAGTAAAGTCAAAATGAGCATGAAAGAGCACATTTTCCAAGAATAGTGAGGATTTGGAGTGAGCTGAATGGAGGATGATTTTAATGGAACAGGCAAAGGAAGATGCTGCCCAGACAGATTCACGATGGATTTGGAAGCATGTGTGGCTATGAAGAAATGCAGAGTTTATTTTGGGGACAGTTCCTACCACAGCTTTAGAACGAGCAATCTTTTCATTGTTGAATTCACAGTGACTCTCACATGTTGTAGATGTTCAATAAATGTTTGCTGATTGTCTGAACAGACAGATGTTTTTATAAAGAGAAGTAACATGATCAGAGTTTTGTTTCCTGTTTATTTGTGTTTGTTTTAGTCAGATGAGAAGAGAAAACCAGAGAGTTTATGTAGTAGGAGAAAAGCCCCCAAGCAGCAAAGGTGGGAGCTGGGAGATAAACAGCCCAGCTTCCTCCCTCTGCAGAAAGGAGTCCATTTGCTCATGGTGTTAACGTCCTCACTAACCTGACCGACACTGTTTTCCTTACTGTTTCATTTCACAGCCTTATGTCTCCACAAGTATTTGCTGGGTGTACCTTGCAGATAGACTTTTCAAACCGGTCCCATTGCATCTCTCGATTCAAGATAGACACGAGGGTCCTCACCAAGGTCTACACGCAGTGGTCATGGAAACCATGGTAGGCAGAATTCTAAGATATTCCCCCAGACTCACAGCACTTGGTGTATGCATAGCTCCCAGCTGTTCAGTCAAGCATTAACCTCAGAGCTACCATAAAGGGATCTGAAGAAATAATCAGAGTCCCCAATCAATTGGCTTTGAGTCAGAATGATTTACTTAAATGAATTTGAGCTAATTGAGTAAGGCTGCAGAGGAACGAGAATCTTTGGTATGAGAGACCCAAAGCACGAGAGACTCTTCTTGATAGCTTGGAAGGCAGAGTTATCACTGGGACAAGCAATGTGAGCTTGAAGAGCTGAGAGAAGCCATCAGCCAAGTATTGACAAGGAGCTGGGATCTCAGCTCTTCCATGCAAAGAGCTAGACTGTCGGCCCAACAGATCACAGAGGCAAAATCTTCCCCAGAGCCTCCAGATAAGAATTACCCTGGTCTGAGAACTCGGCTCACCCAGGCCCACACATCTTACCCCAAAATATGGAGGAAATCGTTAGTGATTGATTCTTTTTTGCATAAAAACTACAGATTGCGCTATAAACATGGGTGCCGATATATATCTATATATAGGCCTATATATACTGCCTATATATAGTGGTTTTAAAGAATATATATATATATATATATATATATATATATCACTGAGACATGATGTGTACCCATGTTTATGGCAGCGCAATTTGTTATAGCTAAATCTTGGAAACAACCAAAATGCCCATCAACGGCAGAGTGGATGAAAAAGATACGATATTTTTATGCAATGGAATATTACTCAGATATAATGATCTTGAGGCTTTTACAGGTATCCTCATAAGTGAAATAAATCAGACTCACATTTATAAATATTGTATTGTCTCTAGTATAGAAATAATAATAATAAACTGAAAGAATATTAAGATCCAAAATGCATAATAGTTATTACAATAATGAAAGGGAAAAAAAGTGCTCTAAAGGATATAACTGTACGTGTGTTAAAGTGTGCAAGACAGATAACCATACTACTAAGTTTTTGTTAGTTCATCAAACAGAATGGTCTGTACTGTCATTGTTTGATTGTCCACTCTTTATGCTTTTTTTGACTTGCGCAACTACTTCTAAGATAACAATATATAATTTATCAACTTCTTTCTTTCTTTGTTTGAAATTCTGTATTATTTCTACCCTTTTTTCTGTTTTTCTTTTTTTCCTCCTAAAAAAAAAAAAACACTCAGAAACTACAGAAATTTAGTGCCGAAAGCAAAGGTGTTAGAGTTAGGATTGAGATAGAAGTGAAATTAAGCATTAAAGGTTGCTCAAGTTTGGTAACTGTGTGAAATCATTGAAACAAAAAAGCATGACTTCAAGATTGTAGTCTGAACTCATAAGATGCCATTAATTATAGAGAAAATGTGTAAAGAGGAATCTGTTTCAGAGTAAGGAGAGCTGTGTCTGGAGATGATGATGTCTAATAAACAACTGGAAGTATAACCCTAAACCAAAAGAAGATTCTGAGTCTGAAGAATAAACATGAAGTCACTGACCTGTCCCATGCTGAACGCATGCATGGGGTTATCCAACACAAAGGAACTGTTTCCTGGTTTACTCCTTTGATTATTAGTTACAGGGCTTCCTTGACTGACAACAGATATATAATACTTAGGACAATGGGAATATATTAGAAAATGTATTATCTTAAAATTATGTCCCATTTTACTTACAGTGATATCCTGGCTAGTGAAGTAGGATGTGGATATTGAATAGATGACATTAAAGCCAATAATACCCAATTTCAAGTCTACGACAGAGATCAGTAATTAGCCTGGTGATTTCTTCCTCAGAGCCAGTATTCTTTCCAAACCTGTGCCCAGGTAGCAACTAAATGGTTGCTGTTCAGCGACAGTTGCCATCATGACCTGATTGTGAAACCCTGTCCATTTAATAATGGGTACATTGAATTGAAAGAAACCTCTTTGATTCTCCTTTTTAAAACAACGCTGTCTTCTTATTTGCCTACAAAATACGCAGTGAGTTTGACCTCCCAGGGAGGAACTTGTTGAGGTGACAGGAGAGGCTCTTGCAGACTGCAAACTTTTTGGGTATAAAACATTAGAAGCAAGTGATGATAAGGGTCCTATTCAGCCTTTCACATGGGCCAAATGGCACTGTGTGCTCAAGATACAAGGTTCAAATATCGTAACTTCTAATTCCTACCCTGGGAGTTAGGTAGAACTCTCAAAGTGCCACTTGCAGTGGCAAGAGCGATGGCCAATATTTGAAAGCCACTGTAAACATACAAGAATTGACCTCTTTCCAAACAAAAAGTGGGTAAGATTTGCACAAATCCATGCATAACAAGCATCCATTTTGTGTGTGTGTGTTTGTGTGTCATCCTGCCACATCATCCTGAAGACATTAAAAACTCTAGAACCCCTGCTTGAGACACAATTTATATGACCCAGCCTAAAAAAAGCTTAGGCAACTCCATTTCTGGATCACAGGGTGCTAACATATTAGTCAACTCATAAAAGCTCGCACTGATTTATAGAGAGTTGTATCATTGCATCACCAGTGGAGGGGGGGATTGTTTTTGGAGAAATATAGGCTCTGTCTTCAGGATCATGACCCATGAGTCACGCCCAGGGATCCTAAGGCTGAGGCCAGTGGGAATGTGGATGAACCTAGTCTTGACACAGAGATATGACTCATTGATAAAGATGAACTGGTTTTAAAGAATAACAAGAACCACCTTCTATTCTATGCCAACCTCTCTTTTTTCTATAACAGCAACAAAAAAAGAAAGAAAGAAAGGAAAAGGAATTCTTATGAGATTTGGAAGTGTTCTTAAAATATATAAACAACAACAACTTCTTCCTCTTCTCCTTTTCTTCTCTTCCTCTTCCTCCTCCTTCCTATTTTCATTATTATATACTTTTAGAACTCTTGGTCCAGTTTGCTATTATAAAGAGTAGTCAGAATTACTTTTTGAATAACAGACTGGCAATATGGAATTTTCTTTGGTTTAAAGAAAAATCATTTGCCAAGAATATACAACAAACTGAATAAGGTTGTGACAAATTTTTGTCATGTATTATCTGGGTCCAACTTGCCAGTCATTTAAGGAACTCTGATGGTAATGAAGCTTATTAGCAGAAAGTTCAAGGTGAGTGCTGACCTGCTATTGTTAATGCAATGGAGATCATCTCCACAAAAAGTGACAATACAAATGTGATGGTGGTGATTGTCACATCGTATTTGCATGTGCAAGGGAAAGCTTGTGATCTTTGGGAAGGTGAGGCATGTGTGGTTTGGGTCAAAGAGAACAGCATTATCATTCAAGTCAACAGAATTCTTGTACTACTTTCAAAATTTAAATTGAAAACAATTTTAACCTTTTTTTCCTATTTGAACATCTACTTCTATGGCTGCTAAAATTTTATTCTGAAAATGTATGAAAAATTGTAATTGCAAACATCAAAGCCTTGTCATTTTCCTCTACTTTTGGATTTCAGGAACTTCATGATGCATAGAGAATGGCTACAGAGCTAGTTAGTCTACAGAAGAAGGGAGAGAGAATGGAGATGCAGCTACATTCCAGGAGCAGGCTGGACACAGGGGTTCTCCCCGCAGGTAAGCTGGCTGGCATCTGGCCTCAAGAACAGCTCATCCACAGCTACCTCAACAACTGTACTGTGCCTCCGGGAGCTCAGAATCTGCTCTCTGTCCCCTGTCTCGTGCTGACCCCTACAATGCTCACTGTGTCTTCATCCACCACTCGTCACTGTCTCCCTTACCCATTCACTTGCTTCTGGAGGACAGGCTAGGATTTCATTCTCTCCTGCAGTGCTTTTCCCTCTACACAGCTTTTACATCTAATCCTCTATCTCTGCGCCAAAGGTCTGGGCCACCTCTATCTTTCCTGAATGCCTGTCCCAGTGGACTCCCTGCGTCTATGCCTTGCCTCCATCCACATTCCACTCCCGAAATCCAAAGGATACTTCCAGAAAGTATCCTAATACTGTATCTTCCCCGACAGAAATCATCAGTAACTTTACAACCTCTAGCATAGCCTACAAAGACCTTAGATGATTGTGTCACTAGCTACACAGGTCTTCAGACATTTCCTCTGAAATGCCAATGTGTTAGCAACACAGGGCCTTTGTGCATGCTATTTCTTCCCTGAGCTGGTAGAACAGTCACATGCTCTGGTATCAGCTCTCACAGACCTGTCTCACTTTCCATAATGCAAGAACATTGCTTGTGTGCACCTTCCCAAGTAGACACATGGAACAGAGTGTGAGACTTGCAAAACACATCTATGTCCAGGGCATGCATAGATTATGCCACAAAGTAGATGCTTGATGGCTTCTTGCCAATTGCTTCCTCTGTGACTATTGTTGGTTTCTGATTATTTTCTTCCCTTATTTGATGTTTGCCAGCAAAGTGTTTGCTTATATATTTACTCAGAATGCCACTTGCTTCATAAATCATCTTTCTTCTATATCACGATCTCTGTATGTGCCACATCTCCACCAGCTCTCCTGTAACCCTTGTGCCCAAGAAGTGAAGGTTAACTGCACGAATGGTGAATGTTTCTTAGGTCTTCTACAGACTTTTGCATGGGGGTAGATGAGTTGCCTTTCAATCTTTAGTAAATATTTCTTGGGTGCATGGAAGAGTTAATGAATAGATGGATGGATGGATGGATGGAAGGTACTGGTGGATGGTGCTCTGAAATTGTAGACAACATGTTTTAGCCTAATTTCTAAAGTATTCTCTGTTTTCTGTGAATGAATTGTCAAACCCATTATTCCTTTAATGTCTGCTAGTGTCTGAAAAATAAACAGCAGGGAACTATCAGCAGGAGCCCCTAACTTCTGCGTTGTGTTTAGGAGGATTAATTACCTTGCATTCTAAATACCTAAATGTTTCTCAAGGAAATATAACCTAAATGTTACTCATAGGAAAAAACTATATGAGTAAAACTCAGTGACGGTCTCATCCTGGAAGACTGGTTATTGCTGTGTGTAAGTTTTTATATATAACTCTTCTTTTAATTAGAGCAATTTCAGTAAGCTTTGAAACACAGCTCTGTCTCTGTCCCTGTCTCCTTAACACATTTTCTGCATCAGTCACTCATGTCACTAGAGAGACCTAGAGAACCTGGTTACATTCTGGATGGGCTTCCACTCTCTGATTTATGATGAAATCTTACTGGGAGCAAGTTGGCAGGCCTCCTTCCTTCCTCTCCTCTGGTTTCCAAGGCAGCAGACCTTCATCTCCCTTCAAACCCGAGCTCCCCAGCTCGGTCCCATTTGGCAATTCTATGTGAGGTTATGGACACACATTGAGCCCAGAACTCATTGCTTTTTTGGAAAAAGGCAAACTAAGAGAGGGGGATTTTCCATATTCACATTTTTCCACAGAAATGTATTCATAAACTTTAAACTTGCCCAAGCTATGTTAATGTATGTGGTTGGCTTCTGAGCCAATTTTCATTGTGAATAAGATGCTAAATAAAAGGGTTCTTGTCCTTCCCCTCGGGGCTCCCCTCCCCACACTGAAAGTTCATAAGCCCATTTTGTACGTGAATCAGGTCTTAGCAGAGAATCAGAAATGAGGTTATTCTTTGAGCCGCTTACAGTGTTTGCTTTAAGCCCTTGATAGGAACATGGGGCTTGTGACAGCAACAGAGAGGAAAACAGATGACTTTATATATAATGCTTTTTATAAGGTGGTTCAGTTCATTCCTAACCTTGGTCTTGGCATCATGGAATGAGCCAGAGAAATTCTGCCCCTCAACCCTAGCCTGCACCTCCTTCCTGCAAAGGCAAGAAAATATTCATTTTAACTCTGGTTCCACAGCTGCCCTTTCCCAGCTGTAGAGCTTGAGCAGTACAATATTACAGATCTGAAATAATCTCCAGTAGTACACAGTAGTTATTATTATTATTATTACTATTACTATTATTATTATTTTAGCTAGGGGACTGCAAATGTTCATAAGAAAAGCAGTGATCTTTCTAAGCCATGAGCTGGCATGTCCTGACATGTTCTGGTGGCCAAGTTTCTGTGCATTTTTGTTCAAATGCTCTCTGTCTGTATTTATTCCTAGTTACCCTAAACCTTTTGGGACTGTCTTTGTGGCTTTTGGTCTGCTGTCTACTCAAATTGCCACGACTTGGGGGTGGGAGTGGAGGCTGCAGGACTTTGGCCTGAAGGAAAGCCCCAATATCACTTTTGAGGCCCTCAGGCTGCTGGACCAGGCCTGTTCCTGGAAGGCTCCACGACTGACTCCATAATGCTGGAAAGCCAGCAGGAGAAATATGTAAAGCTCCAGGGGCACTGACATCAGCATGGAGTGTGAACCAGATACCTGAATGGAAGGCGCAGGCAGGGCCTTTCAGTTGGGCAAGCTGAATTCAAACACCAGGCCCCAGGGAAATAACCAATTCCTTGCTGAGGACTGAGGTCCTGTAGTGTTTCCACCTTAGAGAGGTGAGCTGAGGTGATAGGAAACGGTGACAGCACGATGCAAAGCCACATTCTGATACATGGCATAATGCCATAGTGTTATTAATACTATCAGCTGTTATTAATACTGTATGATTGGAAAATAACAGCTAGCTATAATTACTATAATAAATAGTGTTGGTGTCAAAATGATAATCATGTTATTAATACTTACAACCTGTAATTAATTATTGATAATTAGTAGTATTTGCAGTTACAATGTTAATATTACATAGTGGTGGTGCTTGCAGAGTCTCTTCATATTCACATGGAAAGGGGACATATTTTGGATATTGGAGAAAACCTTGACTTTGTAAAGGTTTTGAAGGTGAATAAACTGCTCCCCACAGTGCCTGGCCCTTCAGTTTGTATGCAGGGGCGGGCATTGTTATTGTGACATTGGCATCTTTCTCACAAAGGGACAGGGCACCCTGCTATTTACAAAGGGAGACTCCTAAGTCATTTCACATCATGGGCCCAATGCCACCTAGGCGTGAGTGCAGACAGTTGGCTCAACCTGGGGCTGTGGATTGTGCCCAGCAGACTGGTGCACACAGAGCCCAAGGCTAGGATGGGGTCTGCGGACCCCCAGGAGGAATGGACAGCCCACTGCTCTGCTGAGAGCACTCCAGGCCTCTCATCTGAGGCCTCAGGTCCTTTTTGGCTCAGGTGGATAAGCAGGAAGAGGTGGCAGCCAGACTCATTTCAGGGTTACTGGGAGGTGCTGTTGGCTGGTATCATAGCCTACCTGTCCTGTAAACCAGGGCTTCCGGCTCATGGACTTCTGACAGTCTGGTGAAACCTTTGGATTCCTTCCTGAGGGAGGTTTTAAAGCCATTGCATAAAACACATTGGATTACACACAGCCAATTTATATCAAAATATAAAAATTTTTTCTATTGTAATAGATGTATTTCTCTCTTAGTCTATTAAGTAGCTGGTTAGAACAGGCAGGGGGACTCCCACTGTCCTACTTCTGGAGTAGTAACAAGAGAAAATGATGCCAGGAGATAACCCTGCAATGTAAAAATTCTGTAATTTCTTCTAAGAACAGTCATGTGTACTGCATTTCTGGGGTTTGTTGCCTACACTCATCATTAAAGGAAAGGAAATATTTCAGTTGGCTGTTGGTAGAAATAAAAAGGAATTTCTCTCCTCTTAGGGTTCACAGAGTCCGCAGTGGGGAGTCCTGCTTGAGCTCACTCTGCTCAGCTGAGCTCCCACCCTGTGCGGCTGGAGGTCCCAGCCCCAACTTCTCAGTGTCTCCTCTCTTCTCTTTGCCTTGGGCCCTCTGCACGTTCTCTGACCTCCATGTCATCCCCTGACCCATGGCCCTGGTCACACCAGATCTATCTTTGTAATTCTAAGATTTGACAGTAAACAGAAAACTGAGCTGTTGGAAGAAGGCTTGGGTGTTTTCAAAACCTACATGAGTACCAGGATTACCTGAAGCACTTGAGGAAGTCCAGGTTTTTGCATGGATGAGATTTTTGAGTTGCTGGGTCTGAGGAAGGGCCTTTGCTTCAATATTTTGAAGAATTTCCTAAATTCTTTCAAAGCAGGGACATCTTGAACAAGCCTTTGCTGGCTTGAACGCTCTTACTTTACTATCTTCAGAAGGAGAGATGAATGGATGGCTAGTGTGCAGGGATGTGATATGCAAATGGGAGTGCAGATACAAGAGTGTGAAAATGTGCAAGAAAGGGAGGGATGGGAGGGAAGGGAGGCAAAGGTGAGGGAAGGAGTGAGGGTCAGTCTTTAGTACCACGAAGCCACTAGGAAAGTTTTGTATCAGCTGAATTCAGAACTAAACACAAAATCAGCAGGAAGGATGGGTTAGTTTCACAATTCAGCAAACATGTATTTGCTTTACTATATTCTAGGGCAGGGGTTGCAAACAAATATAAGCAGGAACCAGGCCAGAAAGCACTGATAGAAAAGATCCAAGGGCCCTTTCTGCCTCCTGTGTACTCACTCGGAAACAAACAAGTTCTCTTGCGTAAGAAAGCAACAGGTTGTATTAACAGTCTGTGGGGATGAATCTGGGCTTGCAGAGTCAGAGATAGCTCGCTAGCGTCTCGTTTTGCGTATGCCGTATTTTCCAACTTCTCTAGAGA